CCAGCGCATCTGTGCAGGGTGCATCCGAGCAGCCTGCGCGCCGGCGCGTCCATGCACAGTGCATAGGAGCAGCCTGTGCACCAGCGCATCCATGCTCTCTGCATCCAGGCACCCTGCGTGGTGGCACATCCATGCATGGTGCATCTGGGTACCCTGCATGCCAGTGCACCCATGCACGGTGCATCCAGGCACCCTGCATGCTGGTGCATCCATCCACAGTGCATCTTGCCACTCTGCACACTGGTGAAGCATTGCACGGTGCATTTGGGCATCCTGTGCCCCCGTGCATCCATGCATGGTGCGTTGTACAGGCATCAGGTGTCCATGCACCCATGCACACCCATGCATTGCTGAATCCGTGCCCTGATGCACCCCCCCATGCACCCATGGAGCAGTGTACCACTGCAGCAATGCACCTCTGCACCATTGCACCTGGTGCACCCATGAACACATGCTCCTGTGCGCCCGTGAACGGGTGCACCAACGCGCCTGCAAACCTGGGCAGCCGTGCACCCAGTGCATACGTGGACCTGTGCACCCGTGCCACCCTGCCCCATTGCACATGTGCACCCACAAGCCTGCACACCCTTCACCATTGCCCCAATGCACCCATGCAGCTATGAACTTCTACAGCATTGTACCTATGCTGCTATGAACCTGTGCACCCATGCGCCATTGCACCTGGGCACTGTGAAACCATGCAGCATTGCACCCAAGCAGCTATGAACTCATGCACCATTGCACCCGTGCAGCTGTGATCCCTTGCAGCATTGCGCCCGTGCAGCTATGAACCCGCACGCCCCCGCAGCGCCCTCACCTCCACGCGGTACCGGCCCTGGTGGCTCTTGAACACGTAGTAGGGGATGACGCCGCAGGGCACCCGCACCCAGAGGCACCAGCGGTTGGGCAGGCCGGGCTCCGCGCGCAGCAGGAAGGCGCCGGGCACGTCCCTCCGCAGCAGGGCGATGCCACCGTCCCTGGGGGCAGCGCGGGCGGGGGTGACACCAGGACACGGGGAGGGGTGGCCGGGGGGTGTCGGGTGACACCAGGACACGGGGAGGGGTGGCCGGGGGGTGTCACGCTCACCTGGAGATGCCAGCGAAGGCCCAGACGCTCTCGGCGAGGTCCCCGTCGCTCTCGGGCAGGAGGGCCGGGCCGCCGCGCGCCCCTTTGCTCTCGCAGCCGCCGGGCGCTGCAGGGAGGTGCCCCCCGTTTGCAGCCGCTGCCGTCGCCGCCGGGGGCCCCCTGCACCCCGGGGACACTCA